TTTTTTTCTCCGAAATGCCCAAGATTTCGGGGGAATGTGTAATGACCAAAAATGATTGTAATCGACCCCTGCAACCGAAAATAATTTTTTCAGAATGGTTTGAAATTTTTTAATTTTGTTGAAATATTTCACACATTCTCGAATTTTTTTCTCAAAAGTGCGTAGGATTTCGGGGGTATATATATTGACCAAAAATGATTGAAATTGACTCCCGCAACTGAAAATAATTTTTTTAGAACGATTTGAAATTTTTTTTCGCTGAAAAATTTAGGCAGCTACGCTCTGTCGATTTTTCTTAAAAATTCGTTTTTCATTTTTAATAATTTTATTTGACGCCCTACAAAAAAGTTGGCCAATACTTTTTTGTAGGTACCTATGAGCTTTTCTTCAGAAAAAAGTTTCATTGAAATATATTCACTATTGTAGGAATTATGGCTGTTTGAAGATTGGACCATTTTTATGGGGTTTTTCTGGCCATAAATTACATTTTCGATTAGGAATTTTTTTCTCGAAAGTGCGTAGGATTTCGTGGGTATATGTATTGACCAAAAATGATTGTAATTGGCCCCCGCAACCGAAAATAATTTTTTCCTGGAGGATTTGAAATTTTTTAATAACTTTTTAACGAAGGCTCAATCAACAAATTGATATTCTTGATTTTCGTCTTATTTTGGCCTCTAGAATCTCCCATTAAAATTTTTCCCAAGGGTGGCCGAACTTTTCCAAATCCATTGGTATGTAATATTTTAAAATTGCCTCTTACAGTTTTGCAGATTTTGATGATTTACATCTTGCGCGCACATCCATTATGGTAGTAGCCGTTCTAACTTTGATTTTAATGAAGCATTGTAGGCTTGCACTAAATTATACAGTAACAAGTAACAAGTAACAATAACAGTAACAAGTTTCTTAACAGCAATGAAAAGATTTTTTTTTATGCCCACCTATGACATTGTGGCAAAGGGGGAGCGATTTATAAATTATAAATACATACAGTGTGTATACCAGGAGATAAAGATACACTTATTATTCTCATGATGTACTTGCTTTAAAATACAAATTGAATAAATAAATATTGTCATTTCTGCGGCTCGCCTATCATGCAGTTTACGCACGTTATCTAAATCTTCACTGTTGTGAAAGCATTCTGTGTAATTTGTATAATAAAAATACGTGTCAAATGAGATTAGTATGTGCATCTGTATCTCTGTTGTTATTAACATTCTTTAAAATCGAGACGGTTTTTGTAATAAACATGATAAAATGAGTATATTGAAATGGAGTTTGTATTATACCTTTTGATAACGTGACATATCGTAAAGTTAATTAAATTGATTGCCCTTGTCATGTGAAAATAATATTTGTTGGTAGATAAGTGGGAGAACTTGGATATATATATATTGCAATTAGCTCTTTATAAGCGTGTAGAACATTGTTGGTTATCCATACAGCCGAGGTGCCGATTCTGGGCATTTAAACGTTGCACTTATCCAGCCAATCTTTTGTTGCATATATCCAGCTTTTACTGTATTCGGAAAGATGGTAAATATTAATCCTATTAATGTAATAACTTTACTGTCTGCTGCGTTTGTTGAGTGGAACCAGGTACCCACGCCAATTAATAGCGCAGAAGAAAATTTAAGGGATGTATTATTCGATTTAATTGTAAGAAGTGTCGAAGACACGGCATTCCTGGTTGAATATGAAACGTGTGTTGAAATGGACGGGACGCCTATCGACCAAGAAAATCAGGATGCTGATTTGAACTGGTTGTGGGTAGATGAAGAGGAAGAAAATAGGACACCGAATATTCCAAACATATACGAACAAGACGTTGTATGTCATTCGAATAAGGAATACATCCCATTCGAATATAAAAGGAAAGCTGTGGCGTACTGGAACAGCGGGAAGTCGAAGCGATTAAAATTAGACACCGTACGTTCCAAATTCCGTCACGTGAAATCCGAAAGAATGCTTCGTAAATGGGCTTTACAAGTTGAACAGAGTGGCACAAAAAAGGAAAAGATAAAACGTATTGCAGAGTATACATTTAATAAATTTATGGAAGCTCGGCAGTTAAGAGTAATTGTGCATGAAGTAGATCTACGGCGATGGGCTTTACAAGCGAGGGACATAGAAAATTTACAAACATTTAAAGCCGGATATACTTGGCTATATACTTTTAAAAAGATGTTTAGATTAGTGTCCAGAAAAATTACCAGATTTGTAACCACAAATATGGTAAATCGAGAAGACGATATTCATTTGCAATGCAGCGCATTCGTGAATGAAGTAAAATCATATATAGCCCGAAATGAACCACACAATGTTTACAATTCCGATCAAAGTGGTTTTAATTTGGAATTACATTCAGGGCGCACTTTGGCTGAAGAAGGTATAAAAATCGTAGAAGGAGGTGTTCAATCAGTGTCATCCACCACTCATAGTTACACCATCCAGCCAACCATTTCAGCTGATGGACAATTCCTGTCACCATTATTTATTGTACTGAAAGAGAGTACAGGACATTTCGGGCCGATTGTGGAACAACATTTATAAAAGCCAAATGCATTCCAGAATCCTGTTGACTACATACTGCTATTCTGTTGAAAATGAGCCAACATGTCATATTTGCGGTGACGTGGCAATAATTAAATGCGCATGGTGTAAGAAATCTTTATGTTTCAAACATTTTTTCGACGAGTACCACTATTGTCGGAACTACATAGTCAACAGGATTCTGGAATGCATTTGGCTTTTCATCTATACAGGGTGTCCCGTAAATAGTGTAAGAACCGGAAATGGGGGGTAGCTGAGACGATTCTGAACAACAATTTCCTTTGCAAAAATGTCGGATGGAGCTTCGTTTTTGAATTATTAACGAAAAACACTGACCAATCACGGCGCTCGCCTTCCGCGCGCTCAGGGCCGTCCCGACCTCGGAGAGCCACCGCGCCGGGTAGGTAGCAAGATGCGCGTTGAAGATACATCGAGGAACGAATACAAATAATTAAAAATACTACCACTACAACTGTTACCTAATTCGTTAATTACTACGTCATTAGTACGTAAATTACTAAATGGAATTTATTAATTATTTGTATTTGCTGTTTCCGAGAAAGAAGGAATAAAATCTCGGTATTTTTAGGAAATTGACCCTTCGCAACCGAGTGACGCTTCTCGCAGAGTGTTTTAAAATTAAAATAAAAATTATTATCAGAAAATTAAAATAAATACGGTAAGAACCATTTGTAACCGTTTGTTATTAAAAACTGTACTGAAAAAGCAGACTGGATTTCTGCGTACCGAAACATTCCTCGAATGCAAAGGGTTAATAGAGAAATAATTGAAATTCGACTTACCCATTTATCTGCAAATTGACCTACTGCGCTGACAATAGAGCCCGGCCAATGCACCGCTGTCGGTCACAGCAAGGTCAAAAACCCCAACGAAAATCAGCTGATGGGACGGCCCGATCGCTGTACCTGCTTCTCACCCCGAAAAAACTTCACAGCACGGTCACTAACACTTTTCACTTTCACATACCGATGTGTTCCGTTGCATCCCTACTTCGATTGTTGCTCCTTCCTGGGTTGATAACGGTGCCTGGATGTTGCTCCCTCCTGAATTGTTACTCCTTCCTGAATGGTAGTTGCTCCCTGAATTGTTGCTCCTTCCTGGATTGTTGCTTCTTCGAACCTTGCTCCCTTCAGGATTGTTGTTCCTTTTCGCTGGGATAATGGGCGCGATACGTGCGGGCGGCTTTCTTCGCGTTCCCCTTGGTGTCCGCGAAAACGAAGAACGAACGATAATCCTCTGCGTTTACGCGTTCCATCGCGTGCGTCCGCTTCTGTTCAGAAACGCGTAGGTTCTGTGAAAAATTTTGACTGACAAATTGCATTTCCCTCCCCGAAAAAGTTCCAGGTAAGGCAACCCATTGTCGCGCGATTCGGAGTTACCTGCGATCGACGAACGTGCAGACCATGTTTGCCGCAAATGTTTGCTGCTAAACCGTACGGTCGGCTCTTCTAATAGAATTTTTAAGATTCACCGTGAATATTTTTCCATGGAAAATTTGTTATAAAAAAGAAAGAAGAATATACCATGAAAAATTAAATAAAATAAAAAGGGTTTATTTATAAAAAATAATCCACGAAGAAGGAGTCAATTACATAATAGATAATATGCGATAATAAATAATATTGGAGCAACAAAAAACAAAAATATTTAAAAAGAATATTAAATAATATTTTTTCTAATTCTGTAGCGTGTAAAATTAGATATAAACAAATTGTAACGCGGCGCCCCGTTTAGGAACCTGCGACGACGACGTCCCTGAGTTGGAAAAACCCCGTACGCGGCACTGTACAGAGCGACTGCAGGTACCGCGCAAAAGGGAAAAACCCCTCCTCTCCATGGTCCGTCCTTTTCCTTGAAATAGCCCCCAGATTTCCCAATCAACAGAGTCAAGGTTAGGCTACAAAGGTTACGAGCAGACGACGCTTACAGTGTTCGGCACTCCACAACTTTGTATCGCAAACCATCCCAACGCCCAAGCCGAGGAAACCGAGATCTATATAGTGACCGGTACCAAAAGCTTGTCCTACACTCTAGAGGAAGACGTCTCCGACGGCACCTCTACGAATCCTCTCGCATCCCTCCTCGTGGAAGAAGACGTTGCCTACGCGGCCCACGGCACTTCCACACTCCTCCAAAGAAAGTCGATCCGCGAGTCGTAGTAACGACCGAATTACGCGTTCGGCTATCACCAAAACTACCTCCGCCAGCTAGATTTCAAATCGCGCCGTGACCAAACCGTACGTGTCAACCCTCGACCATATCGCAAAAACCAGTGTAAAAGTTTTATCTTTGTTTTGTGTACAATAAACCACATTCCCGTTACAAATTGGCGCCCAACTAGAGGCCACGTTAAGTTCATCACGGCACCGAAGAAAGATCTTAAATCACCTGGTGGAGAAGTAAGAAGAAGTCCAAGGAACATGACGACTTTCCAAATGACGGACGACCAGCTAAACCGCTTGCTGGCCACGCTGACAACTCGGCAAACATCCCCACCAACCACGTCACAGGGAAGCTTTGCGCGCTGCACCACGCGTTTTGGAGGATCAACGAACAGAACGAGGGTCGAAGAATTCATCTCGACGATCTCGATTTACAAAGAAATCGAAAACATTTTTAACGTAAACGGGATCAAGGGGCTTCCACTACTACTGGAAGACGAAGCAGCGACATGGTGGCACGGCGTCAAAGAAGATGTGACGACATGGGCTCAGGCCATGGATCTGCTGCGCGCCGCATACGCACCAAAGAAGCCTGGATACGCCGTGTACGCAGAATTATTCGCAACAAAGCAGACAAAGAACTGTGCGACTGACGTATTCATCGCACAAAAAAGAGCTTTGTTCGCTGAATTAACGCACAAACACGCAGAAGAGATTCAACTTGATATGATATACTCTCTCCTGAAGCTGCGCATACGCGAGAAAATCCCGCGGTGTTCAGTAAAGAATTTTGAAGAGCTCATAGGGAAAGCAAGAACGTTCGAAGCTCTTGAAGAGGAAGCAAGGGAACAGCAGGAACCATTCGGCAAACCCTTACCGACCCAAGAAAAGAAACTTGTAAGATGCTCGTTCTGCCGAAAAACTGGTCACTCGTTCGAAGAATGTCGGCGAAGGAAAGCCAAGGAACCAACGAAACTGGAACCACCAACTCTCCACTGTTATGGATGCGGAAACCCCGGAGTTATAAGAAGTCGGTGTCCGCAATGTAGCCAAGCCACTGTATCCAGCATCCAGACGGCAGATTTCTGTTCCGTGAGCCTAGCCCAGGCCCGAAATCGTCCAACGGCCCGGATCCAAATCGAAGGATTCAAAGGCCACGCCTTTTTTGACACAGGGGCAAAAGTGAGTATCGCGAGTGATAGCCTGTACAATAAACTGGCAGCAAATGGAACCAAATTCCAGCAGCGAAAACTCCTGATTGCTCTAGCGGATGGACATCCGCGAATACGGTCAGTCCTATGTGCAGATTTGACGGTCCAGCTCAAGGATCGAAACATCAAATCCCCGTTCATCGTGCTACCCGGGGCAACCGAAAACCGGACTCTCCTAGGCATCGATTTCCTCGAAACAGCAGGAATTATAATAAACGCAGCACAACGTTCATGGAATTACGTGGATCAACCCAAAAATCACCACTTTTTCGAAGAAGAGCCTCCAGTGAAAGTATCGCAGCCAAAATCCAGGAAATTCCCCAAAAAGGAGTTGGCTCTGGTAGGGACGCAGGAGCCGCCTGCTCAAACACCCAAAAAACGGATGCCTGACGAAGAGGATTGGAGCGAGATGTGTCACATGCCGCCACTTCTGTCACCACTATCACCCACTCCAAAGAAGACTCAACAAACGGATATCTTGGACGACCTGTTTGATCGATGCTTCCAGACCTACCGTCTGGATTTGGCATCGGTAGATGTACTGCTACGACCAGAGGAAGCCGAAGGCCTGGATCAAAACGAAAAGCGACAATTGGAGCAGTTATTGATCCAGCACCTCGATCTGTTCGAAACGAGTGAGGAATCGACAACGTTCGCGGAGCATCGTATCGACACCGGAGACAACGCACCGATCGCGGTTCCTCCATACCGGCTATCCCCTGCTAGAAAAGCAGTGCTACGGGATGAAATTGACGAGATGTTGCAAAAAGACATCATCGAAGAAAGTGAATCACCTTGGGCTGCTCCTGTCGTCATGGTCGCTAAAAAGGACGGAGGCGTGCGAGTCTGCGTAGACTACCGACGACTCAATGCGATCACAGTCACGGATACCTACCCCTTACCCAGGATCGATGACTTGATACACGCCACCACTTCAACGAGGTTCATGACGACGCTAGACCTCCGATCCGGCTACTGGCAGATCCCAGTACATCAAAAGGATCAAGAGAAGACAACATTCGTTACACCTTTCGGGACATACCGTTTCAAACGAATGCCATTCGGCCTAAAAAACGCACCGGCCACGTTCCAGCGTATGATGGACCGACTTCGCGCACCCCTCGGTGAGCGAATGATCATCGCGTACTTGGACGATCTATTAATTTTATCGTCCTCCTTCAACAACCACTTGGCCGACCTCAAGGCCACCTTCAGCCGAATAAGATTCTTCGGGCTTCGAATGAACAGGGAAAAGTGCTACATGTGTTGTCCAGAAATCAAATATTTGGGACACATCATTACACCCAGTGGCATCGAGGCAGATCCAGAGAAAATTTCGGCAATATTGGAACGACAGGCGCCCACAAACGTAAAGGGGGTGCTCAGCTTCGTACAAACCTGTTCATGGTACAGAAGATTCATCCCCGGATTTGCTCAGACTGCGGAACCTCTCACCCGCCTCACCCGGAAGAAAACTTCGTGGCACTGGGGGGAGAAACAGAAGAAGTCTTTCCAAGACCTTAAGAGGATGCTGACAGAAGCACCCGTTTTAAAACCAGCAAACCCGAAGATGCCATACACCATTAGGACAGATGCCAGTGGATACGCTCTCGGCGCAGCTTTGGTGCAGGGGGAGAAAGAAGAAGAACACCCCGTGGAATATGCTAGCCGACTCCTCACGACCGCGGAACGCAACTACTCCACTACTGAGCGGGAGGCTCTCGCCGTCGTGTGGGCAATTAATAAATTCCGTGGATATATAGAGGGATCGGAAGTACGCATCATGACAGATCATCAGCCTCTAAGATGGCTGATGACTCTGAAAACACCCAGTGGTCGCCTGGCTAGGTGGGCACTGCTACTGCAGGAATTCAACATTCAAATTGACTACTGCCCAGGAAAGTCCAACTACGTCGCTGACTATCTCTCCAGACCTCAAAGGGAGGATACAGACAACGAAGACGAGTGCAATATCGGACTGATTTCGGTAGATATGCCAGCTAGAAAAAGTAACGAAATCCGAGAAGAGCAGCTGAAAGACGAAGAAACCCGAAAAATCATAGAATGTTTCGAGGAAACCAGACAGTCAGAAAATTTTCTGCATTGGACCCAGAAAGGATACTTACTGTCCAACGGAGTACTCTATCGACATGCACCAGATACGGACAACGCAGCTGACGCCCTGGGAACATACCACACCTCTGCACTCACCCCATGCAGGTTGGAGGAAGCCAGCCTACCGAGTGCACCAATAGCGCCCATACGTCGGCGAGGACGACCCCGGAAAACCAACCAAAAGAAGAAGTAGAATATGCTGAAGCCCTTGTCGAGGACGACTGACGGGTTCAGAGGGGGAGAGTTGTAGCGTGTAAAATTAGATATAAACAAATTGTAACGCGGCGCCCCGTTTAGGAACCTGCGACGACGACGTCCCTGAGTAGGAAAAACCCCGTACGCGGCACTGTACAGAGCGACTGCAGGTACCGCGCAAAAGGGAAAAAACCCTCCTCTCCATGGTCCGTCCTTTTCCTTGAAATAGCCCCCAGATTTCCCAATCAACAGAGTCAAGGTTAGGCTACAAAGGTTACGAGCAGACGACGCTTACAGTGTTCGGCACTCCACAACTTTGTATCGCAAACCATCCCAACGCCCAAGCCGAGGAAACCGAGATCTATATAGTGACCGGTACCAAAAGCTTGTCCTACACTCTAGAGGAAGACGTCTCCGACGGCACCTCTACGGATCCTCTCGCATCCCTCCTCGTGGAAGAAGACGTTGCCTACGCGGCCCACGGCACTTCCACACTCCTCCAAAGAAAGTCGATCCGCGAGTCGTAGTAACGACCGAATTACGCGTTCGGCTATCACCAAAACTACCTCCGCCAGCTGGATTTCAAATCGCGCCGTGACCAAACCGTACGTGTCAACCCTCGACCATATCGCAAAAACCAGTGTAAAAGTTTTATCTTTGTTTTGTGAACAATAAACCACATTCCCGTTACAATTCTTATTTTTCAAATGAAAATTCCAAGAAGATATATTTTTTAATATTTGTGTTAAATATTTTTGTTGTACAATTAAATATGTTATCCATGAAAAAATATTCACGGTGAATCTTAAAAATTCTATTAGAAGAGTCGACCGTACGGTTTAGCAGCAAACATTTGCGGCAAACATGGTCTGCACGTTCGTCGATCGCAGGTAACTCCGAATCGCGCGACAATGGGTTGCCTTACCTGGAACTTTTTCGGGGAGGGAAATGCAATTTGCCAGTCAAAATTTTTCACAGAACCTACGCGTTTCTGAACAGAAGCGGACGCACGCGATGGAACGCGTAAACGCAGAGGATTATCGTTCGTTCTTCGTTTTCGCGGACACCAAGGGGAACGCGAAGAAAGCCGCCCGCACGTATCGCGCCCATTATCCCAGCGAAAAGGAACAACAATCCTGAAGGGAGCAAGGTTCGAAGAAGCAACAATCCAGGAAGGAGCAACAATTCAGGGAGCAACTACCATTCAGGAAGGAGTAACAATTCAGGAGGGAGCAACATCCAGGCACCGTTATCAACCCAGGAAGGAGCAACAATCGAAGTAGGATGCAACGGAACACATCGGTATGTGAAAGTGAAAAGTGTTAGTGACCGTGCGTGAAGTTTTTTCGGGGTGAGAAGCAGGTACAGCGATCGGGCCGTCCCATCAGCTGATTTTCGTTGGGGTTTTTGACCTTGCTGTGACCGACAGCGGTGCATTGGCCGGGCTCTATTGTCAGCGCAGTAGGTCAATTTGCAGATAAATGGGTAAGTCGAATTTCAATTATTTCTCTATTAACCCTTTGCATTCGAGGAATGTTTCGGTACGCAGAAATCCAGTCTGCTTTTTCAGTACAGTTTTTAATAACAAACGGTTACAAATGGTTCTTACCGTATTTATTTTAATTTTCTGATAATAATTTTTATTTTAATTTTAAAACACTCTGCCGAGAAGCGTCACTCGGTTGCGAAGGGTCAATTTCCTAAAAATACCGAGATTTTGTTCCTTCTTTCTCGGAAACAGCAAATACAAATAATTAATAAATTCCATTTAGTAATTTACGTACTAATTACGTAGTAATTAACGAATTAGGTAACAGTTGTAGTGGTAGTATTTTAATTATTTGTATTCGTTCCTCGATGTATCTTCAACGCGCATCTTGCTACCTACCCGGCGCGGTGGCTCTCCGAGGTCGGACGGCCCTGAGCGCGCGGAAGGCGAGGCCGTGATTGGTCAGTGTTTTTCGTTAATAATTCAAAAACGAAGCTCCATCCGACATTTTTGCAAAGGAAATTGTTGTTCAGAATCGTCTCAGCTACCCCCCATTTCCGGTTCTTACACTATTTACGGGACACCCTGTATAGATGAAAAGCCAAATGCATTCCAGAATCCTGTTGACTATGTAGTTCCGACAATAGTGGTACTCGTCGAAAAAATGTTTGAAACATAAAGATTTCTTACACCATGCGCATTTAATTATTGCCACGTCACCGCAAATATGACATGTTGGCTCATTTTCAACAGAATAGCAGTATGTAGTCAACAGGATTCTGGAATGCATTTGGCTTTTATAAATGTTGTTCCACAATCGGCCCGAAATGTCCTGTACTCTCTTTCAGTACAATAAATAATGGTGACAGGAATTGTCCATCAGCTGAAATGGTTGGCTGGATGGTGTAACTATGAGTGGTGGATGACACTGATTGAACACCTCCTTCTACGATTTTTATACCTTCTTCAGCCAAAGTGCGCCCTGAATGTAATTCCAAATTAAAACCACTTTGATCGGAATTGTAAACATTGTGTGGTTCATTTCGGGCTATATATGATTTTACTTCATTCACGAATGCGCTGCATTGCAAATGAATATCGTCTTCTCGATTTACCATATTTGTGGTTACAAATCTGGTAATTTTTCTGGACACTAATCTAAACATCTTTTTAAAAGTATATAGCCAAGTATATCCGGCTTTAAATGTTTGTAAATTTTCTATGTCCCTCGCTTGTAAAGCCCATCGCCGTAGATCTACTTCATGCACAATTACTCTTAACTGCCGAGCTTCCATAAATTTATTAAATGTATACTCTGCAATACGTTTTATCTTTTCCTTTTTTGTGCCACTCTGTTCAACTTGTAAAGCCCATTTACGAAGCATTCTTTCGGATTTCACGTGACGGAATTTGGAACGTACGGTGTCTAATTTTAATCGCTTCGACTTCCCGCTGTTCCAGTACGCCACAGCTTTCCTTTTATATTCGAATGGGATGTATTCCTTATTCGAATGACATACAACGTCTTGTTCGTATATGTTTGGAATATTCGGTGTCCTATTTTCTTCCTCTTCATCTACCCACAACCAGTTCAAATCAGCATCCTGATTTTCTTGGTCGATAGGCGTCCCGTCCATTTCAACACACGTTTCATATTCAACCAGGAATGCCGTGTCTTCGACACTTCTTACAATTAAATCGAATAATACATCCCTTAAATTTTCTTCTGCGCTATTAATTGGCGTGGGTACCTGGTTCCACTCAACAAACGCAGCAGACAGTAAAGTTATTACATTAATAGGATTAATATTTACCATCTTTCCGAATACAGTAAAAGCTGGATATATGCAACAAAAGATTGGCTGGATAAGTGCAACGTTTAAATGCCCAGAATCGGCACCTCGGCTGTATGGATAACCAACAATGTTCTACACGCTTATAAAGAGCTAATTGCAATATATATATATCCAAGTTCTCCCACTTATCTACCAACAAATATTATTTTCACATGACAAGGGCAATCAATTTAATTAACTTTACGATATGTCACGTTATCAAAAGGTATAATACAAACTCCATTTCAATATACTCATTTTATCATGTTTATTACAAAAACCGTCTCGATTTTAAAGAATGTTAATAACAACAGAGATACAGATGCACATACTAATCTCATTTGACACGTATTTTTATTATACAAATTACACAGAATGCTTTCACAACAGTGAAGATTTAGATAACGTGCGTAAACTGCATGATAGGCGAGCCGCAGAAATGACAATATTTATTTATTCAATTTGTATTTTAAAGCAAGTACATCATGAGAATAATAAGTGTATCTTTATCTCCTGGTATACACACTGTATGTATTTATAATTTATAAATCGCTCCCCCCTTTGCCACAATGTCATAGGTGGGCATAAAAAAAATCTTTTCATTGCTGTTAAGAAACTTGTTACTGTTATTGTTACTTGTTACTTGTTACTGTATAATTTAGTGCAAGCCTACAATGCTTCATTAAAATCAAAGTTAGAACGGCTACTACCATAATGGATGTGCGCGCAAGATGTAAATCATCAAAATCTGCAAAACTGTAAGAGGCAATTTTAAAATATTACATACCAATGGATTTGGAAAAGTTCGGCCACCCTTGGGAAAAATTTTAATGGGAGATTCTAGAGGCCAAAATAAGACGAAAATCAAGAATATCAATTTGTTGATTGAGCCTTCGTTAAAAAGTTATTAAAAAATTTCAAATCCTCCAGGAAAAAATTATTTTCGGTTGCGGGGGCCAATTACAATCATTTTTGGTCAATACATATACCCACGAAATCCTACGCACTTTCGAGAAAAAAATTCCTAATCGAAAATGTAATTTATGGCCAGAAAAACCCCATAAAAATGGTCCAATCTTCAAACAGCCATAATTCCTACAATAGTGAATATATTTCAATGAAACTTTTTTCTGAAGAAAAGCTCATAGGTACCTACAAAAAAGTATTGGCCAACTTTTTTGTAGGGCGTCAAATAAAATTATTAAAAATGAAAAACGAATTTTTAAGAAAAATCGACAGAGCGTAGCTGCCTAAATTTTTCAGCGAAAAAAAAATTTCAAATCGTTCTAAAAAAATTATTTTCAGTTGCGGGAGTCAATTTCAATCATTTTTGGTCAATATATATACCCCCGAAATCCTACGCACTTTTGAGAAAAAAATTCGAGAATGTGTGAAATATTTCAACAAAATTAAAAAATTTCAAACCATTCTGAAAAAATTATTTTCGGTTGCAGGGGTCGATTACAATCATTTTTGGTCATTACACATTCCCCCGAAATCTTGGGCATTTCGGAGAAAAAAATTCAGTACGGGCGGAACTTTAAACGTTAATAATTTCTTAACGAAGCCTCCATCAACAAATTGGTATTCTTGTATTTTTCCCGATTTTGTCCTCTAGAAGTAGTGCAAGCCTACAGTGCTTCATTAAAATCAAAGTTAGAACGGCTACTACCATAATGAATGTGCGCGCAAGATATAAATCATCAAAATCTGCAAAACTGTACGAGGCAATTTTAAAAAATCGCATACCAATGGTTTTGGAATAAAATGCTCGTCATTTTTTGTCATTATGAAAATTTCAATAAAATGAAAAATTAAGTTAATAAATTTTTTTTTGTTATAAACAAATTGTATTTTTAAAAATTTTTTAACACCATGTTATTGTACATAAGAAACCATTAACCTCGCCCATTAACAATTTTTTTGTATCTCTTTCCGTTTTCGAGATAGCCGTTTCGAGCCAAAACTTCAAGGGGTGGTTTCACCCCTTAAACTCGAGTTACCGCAGCTAAAAAAAAATACGTGTCGATTATTTTTGGCTGCTTTATAAGTGTACAAAGTTTCATCAAAATCGAAGCCGGACCGTTCGCGATAGTTCCTTGTAAGTTACAGGTTTTTTAAATGAAATCTTTCTTCGCTGGGTTTGCGAGCTAGGTATTGCTCAAAGTCAATTTTCTATTGAAATACCAATGCAGGTAAGTGCGCTCGGCCCTCTACCCTTTGTAATTAAACGTATAAACTATCAGTAATAAAATTCGATACTTCATTTTTCATCTTTTGGCCAACTTTTCGGGATTTGGAACCACACTGCAGAAGCGTTAAATTTATTAGTTCAACCGGCAATGTTAATAACAGAATCGAGCACAGAAAACGACATATCTGATAATGAATATGATTCCGATGATTTTGCTAGAAACTTAGCAGTATATATGTAATTGGCGTAAGATGTTTTGGAAATATTTTATTTAATAAATGTAATTGATTATTTATTTGTAATTTTTCCTTTCAGGTCAGCGAGCTTAATGCAAGCCCGTGCCCGGGCCATTGCCGAGGCCAGGACGGCCGCCGTACCATCGGTGGCCTCGAGGGTCACGGCCGCTGTTTTAGGCGAGCGGCCGACACCCGGTGCCTTCCTTGCGGCCCCTTCCTGGGGTTGGGGCCTGCCCCTCGTTACCCGCTACTGCTTGAACGTGGGAGATAATCAACATGAATATTTTTTATTACAAACGGAACAGAACCATAAATAAGGATCTCAGTCGACTTTATGCAACAATGGCTTGAAGTAATCATTCTCAAGCCATTGAGGCGTAAAAGCCCTTTTCGAAATACTATTCTGTTTATGATACCCAGATTCTCCGTGTCTATACACGTTTGAGGAATCGCAAGAATAAGACTTATTGCATAAAGTACAATAAAAACGACTTCTATCATGCGGTACTGCACGTATCCATGATTTAAATCTATTATCACTCATCCATGAAGATAAAAAATCGCGCTTACTCTTATTCTTGGATTTCACAACCGTTTCCATCGTGTAAAAGCAAAATAGTGAATATAACAGCAAATTAAAAAATAATTACGCGAAATCTTTTTTTTAATTTAAATTCCTGAATATTTTAAGCACGTACCTTTAAATCTCTGCTAACGTCCGTTTTCGTCAACCGAATGCAACAAACGCTCAAAAGAAACAGCAGTGACTTGAGCACGTTGACGATAGTGTTTTGTTGATACTACTCGCAGGTCAATGGACCGTTGAAATGATGAGGAAGAAGAAAGAAAGGATGTGGATATACATAGCCTAGTCCCTATATGTTTTTAAAGGACAGAAATTAGAAATAAATGTTAGAGTGACGCGGGGAATGAAACTCGGAATCAAGAAATACGCAGGGTATTCGTATGTACGCTTTATTCGGGTTCCTCTTCCTGCGTCAGAAAAACGAATGTCCCCATCCTGGGCCTAGTCCGTCGCCTTTGTCGTCAGCCTTCTCCCTCATCGGTAGGGGTGGGAGTGCTGACGGACGAAGGCCAGACCGGTCCCTTAATGAACTCCTTGGCTTGGGGCCTCTCCTTTTCCCGATGCCTTACATAAAGTTCTATTGAATGAATAGCAGTACACAGGGTATTCGCATGAATTTCGGGGGTGCATTTCTGGCCTCACATTAGATTTTCGGTAAGGAATTTTCTTCTCGAAAGTGCGTAGGATCTCGGGGTTATGTGTAATGACCAAAAATGATTGTAATTGACCCCCGTAACTGAAAATAATTTTTTTAGAACCCGATTTTTTTTCTTGAAAGTGGATAGGATTTCGGAGGTATGTGTATTCACCAAAAATGATTGTAATTGACCCCCGCAACCGAAGATAATTTTTCCAGAACGATTTGAATTTTTTGAATTTAATTGTTAATAACTTTTTAACGAAGCCTCCATCAACAAATTGGTATTCTTGATTTCTGTCTTTTTTGGCCTTTAGAATCCCCCACTAAAATTTTTCCCAGGGGTGGCCGAACACCCTGCATAGGTCGGAAAGTAAAAATGCTGGGCAGTCGAGATTTGGAATCATATGCCGGTTATCGCGAGATCGTATTTCAGCTGTTACAAGAGCAAGAAGGAAAGGCTCACACTAGCGTTCTTGATCGCTTTCCCGAAGTTGTGCGAAGTGCCGAGTTCACGTACACGTGACTCGTGCGGTAGGTATGCCAGCTATCCCCACCACTTCGTTAAGCGGTAAGGAAGTTCGTCGTTACTAATGTCGATTTCGATGCACTCAATTATGCCAGATCTGGCCACACTGGCCACACTGCGTACGCGTATGCATGATCTGTCATGCGTGAATAGTGCACCTGGTGCTGAATCTGGCATCTTTGTTGACAATTGATGAATTGTACGACTTAATGTTTCGTGTGCTGCTCATGTAACAATAACAACCACGCTTGGTCAACTCAAATTATTCTATTAATTAAGTAAAAATAACATCGTGAAGTTTAATAAAAAAATGTCAATTACTTGTGGGAAAAGAAAACAAAAAGTAACATTGCAGCAAGAAGAACTTGAATTACTTGATAAATCCGTAATTATATTAATTATTTTTTATTGTTGTATAGTTCAATTATTATATAGTGTAATTGTAAAAAATAAAATAAACATATACACACTTCACTGAAAAATGAGAACACAGAAATATAATCTTATTTTTACAGAATCTATATCCTTCGAAACATTTATTTCTAACTAGCAAACGGGAGGTGCCTTTTATATATATTTATTTTTTTATCAGAATACATTATAATACAATATTTGTATATAAGATTTTAAATAAGATGTATGTTTATTGTAGGAATTGATTAAAAAAATTCTATTTTTGGAAGAAAATAACAAACAATTGAAAGCTTTGGTAAATAAAATAAATAAAAAACAAACAAATATCAATATTGTTCATAAACCAAAAAGACCATTTAATTTTTTAAGGTACGTAAAATATTTAATTATTTTACCAAAATAATTGTTTATAAAAAAAACATCAAATAATATTAATAATTGCCCATTAATATCAATATGAACTGTTTTGATATTAGATATAATAAAAGACATATTCTTCTAAAATTCTATTATCTTGGATGGGATTACAATGGTTTTGTTGTTCAAGAGAATATTAATGATACGATAGAACAGCATTTATTTGCGGCATTGATAAAAAGTTGTTGTATAGAATCACGTGAAACTTCAAATTATCACCGTTGTGGCAGAACAGATAAAGGGGTTAGTTCGTTTTCACAAGTGATCTCATTGGATATAAGAAGCAATTTGGAACTTAAAGACCAACATAAAGTGGAAGATGAACTTTTGTATTGCAAAATACTAAATAGATTACTACCTTCTAACATAAGATGTATCGCTTGGTGTCCAGTGTCAAGTGATTTCTCTGCAAGATTTAATTGTAAATTTCGAACTTACAAATATTTTTTTCCAAGAGGAAATTTAAATATAGATTTGATGCATAAAGCAGTTAAATACACTATAGGAGAGCATGACTTTAGAAATATTTGTAAAATGGATGTTACAAATGGTGTCACTAATTACAAGAGAACAGTTATCGATGCAAAGGTATCTGTACTTCGACAAAACAATGAACACATTTCAGGTTGGTATCAATATTAAATTATTCTTATGAATGCAGTCAAAAATTCTAATGATTTCAATTTAAGTTATGGTTTCTATTACGAAATTGCGCTGGAATGGAATAATCAGTGGAATGAGTGATTTGAGACAATAGACACAGTTTCTATAAGAAATGTAGATGGAGATCATGAACGAACTCAGTGACATGAATCTTATGATCGTGTACGTGTAATGGTGTCATATTAAAATTAACTGTATGAAAATTATTTGATGTTAGTACTTCATTGAAGCGTGTCTTACCACGCAAAATGCTCTTACCATATAGTGTACCTGTACTTGAGGCAAGATGCATAACATGTTTTAATAGTTGGGACAAATTCAAAAATCTGAGAAAATTCTTAGTACAATGTCTTATAAAAACATTAACCGTAACCCTTTTGAATACATATTGGAACTCACTATTTGTCAATGGCACTTTTTGTTGAAAACATTTAAGTCAGGATAGGGTGGAATATAGTAAGATATGGCTAATGGATAAACAGTATTTTACAACATTCATAAGTGTCTAATTAATAAAATAACCGATTATAATATTCAATTAATTTGTAATTTCTATCATTTTCAACTTAATTGTATTCATTTTCAAATAATTTTCACATGATCAATTTTAAAATGACACCATTTTTAAAACACAATAATTAAAAGAGACAAATAGCAAGTTAACAGTTAAAAGCATGGCATTTGTTTAAACGAATTGTCAAAAAAAAATTACAACAATATTTTTTTTATGCTGAAGTAATTCCTATTTCGTACTCCAATGTCTTCAGTATAAGCTTCTAAAATTTTTTAAACAAAATGCAGTACTATTTTTCAAACAGCTGTAGAATCCATAATTTTCGAAATTTTAAAAAATTTTTCGAGATTTGTATAGATACTGCTAAAGATTACATCATATTCAAATTTGACCAAAATCCGAAATGGTGCTCCATTTAGTGTTGGATTTTGAGATTTATTTCGATGTCACGAACTGTAATACAATACCCTGACGCTCACTACCATACCATAGGGTGTCAATGATTCCGTTGCCGGAATTTTCCAGCTTTATTTCGTTCCGATCTCGGCAATAGAAACCAAGACTTTACTCGTATTCTCGTTCAATTTTACTTTTTTAATGAGTATACAAGGTGTGACTATTAAATAACAGGACTGACACTGTAAAACATTTTATTTTGATTTCATATATATTTACTTATTATCACCTCCAATATACACCCCTCCTGTATCCCTAAAACGCTCCATGCGAATCTTCCATTGTTTGAAACAGTACTGGAAGTCTTCTTCTGTCAGCTTCTTCAGGATGCATTCTGCTTTTTCTTTCATAGCTTCAACAGACTCAAATCTTGTTCCTTTTAATGCAGATTTTATCTTAGGAAACAGATAGAAGTCACATGGCGCAAGATCCGGCGAATAAAGCGGATGGTCTACACTGGGATGCTGTACTTGGCTAGAAATCTCTTGACAAACCAAACGGAATGAGCCGGTACATTGTCTTGATGGAGAACCCATGACTTGTCTTTCCACAATTCGGGTCGTTTTTTCCTTATTCTTTCACGGAGTTCAGCAAGAACGTGAAGATAGTAATTTTGATTAATAGTTTGACCTTCAGGAACCCAATGAAGGTACACAATCCCATGAATATCGAAAAAAACAATCATCAGTGCTTTGAATTTTGATTTGCTCATTCGAGCTTTTTGGCTCTCGGTGAATTTGTTAGACCATCCGCTTTATTCGCCGGATCTTGCGCCATGTGACTTCTATCTGTTTCCTAAGATAAAATCTGCATTAAAAGGAACAAGATTTGAGTCTGTTGAAGCTATGAAAGAAAAAGCAGAACGCATCCTGAAGAAGCTGACAGAAGAAGACTTCCAGTACTGTTTCGAACAATGGAAGATTCGCATGGAGCGTTGTAGGGATAAAGGAGGGGTATATTGAAGGTGATAATAAGTAAATATCTATGAAATCAAAATAAAATGTTTTACAACGTCAGTCCTGTTATTTAATAGTCACACCTCGTATGACATGGATATACTGTATACTATGCTTGCTTTTTGATCAACATTATTGCCTTTATAAACAATTAGCAGAATTTTCGGTATTGAAATGCTTAAATTGGTTACAAATAAATCTTGTACTATCGTACTTCAGTCATGAAGCAAGATATTTTTTACTCTGAAACTATCAAAATTGGATCAACCGCGATAGAAGAATACCTAGGCCGGTACTATCACCGGATTTATCACCGCTGGATTACGATTTATGGCGTTATATTAAATCTATGGTGTATACATAGTAACATCTACCGAGTGTTGGACAATTAAAAGAAATAATTATTATAGCATTCGAATCATTGCAATTGCAAAATAATAAGTTTGATAAATGTTTGTAGAAATTTAATCAGAAGAGACACCAATTTTTCAATTTAAAGAAGTTCATGTATGAAATTCGTTGAGTTGCATTTTAATCAAGTATATGCATACTCGATTAACAATTTTCAAAGCTATTTTTCTCGGAAACAAAGCCTTGTACGAAAAAATTTTATTCTAAATTTTGATTCAGTATTTCATGTAGAATCACCGCCTTTCTGCTTATGCCACCAGTCATATAACAACCTGTATATAAAAGTGTTTTGTGTCTTTTCTAAGTTTTATCATTGAAGTATAACATTCTCCATATTTTTCTTGTTCTAAATTAACATCATGTATACATTCCTTTTCTTTTTTTTTAATTATCAAAAAAAATGTTTCTAAACAATAATGTTGTATGATTTACGTTTTACATATATTAAACATTTATTATTTTGCAACACTTTATTAATATACATAGATAATATTATATTATGCATAAATCTTATTTTCATTAATGCGCATAACATTTACAGGGTATGACATATGTGAATTGATTATAACAAGTCAAGCATTTTTGTGGCATCAGATCCGTTGTTTAATGGGTATTTTGTTACTTATTGGTGAAGGAAAAGAAAAACCGCAAGTTATTTTAGAACTTCTAGATATTGAAAAGTATCCTCGAAAACCACAATACAATTTGGCTCATGGTGTACCACTAAACCTTTGGTATTGTGAGTATCAATCTGAAGAGTGGTACGTTGATAAGAATGAATTAATAAACACAATAAAAATTCTACAAAACGATTGGACCTTCAATACAATAAAGTATGCACAGTTTTATTTATAAAAACATGCAAATTATTTTACTAAACAGAATAAATGGTCATAATTTTTATATTGAACACGATATACATACATGGTTGTGTATATACAGATATACATATACACGAAATCCAGATTTAGCGCCCCTAAATTTTTTCTTGTGGAGAACATTGAAAAATATTCTGCCCTCTCTCAGATTCTCCACAGAATTTATAAGATTTGAATAAATTTTGTCTTTTTTTGTTTAAAACATTGATAAATTGCATACAGTTTATTGAATCTTATTAAATGCATTAATAATGGAGTTACGTCTTGAAACAATTGCATGGATCACTCTGTGTGTGTGTGTGTGTATACCCACAGATAATTTATTTATATATTTCTTATTTATATGAAGTACAGAGTTTTATTCACACTAATTAATAATTAGTTTGAATTATTTAAAAGCAGCCAATAAAAAAATTATATATATATGTATAGGTCAGTTATGATTGAGAATATGCTATCAGATTTGGAAAATTCAATAGATTGTAAAAATATGTTATTTTCGCATAATGCTTTACTTCTTGGTGTACAATCTAAAGTATACCAATCATTAATGACACGGGTAACTTGTGGTTAGTATTTACTTTATTAATATTTTCAAATTAATTGTGATGTACAAAATAAGTAACTGTATTTAATGAAAAATTTTTTACAGAAAGCTTAGAAAATAAAATAAAACATTGCGAAAAGAAAAAGAAGAGGAAGGAGATGCCCGATTAAATGGATTTACAGAACTTTATAAAAATATTAAATAAAACATGAGACATTTGATACTATTTGTAATTGACTTGAAATTTGCCAACAGCAAATAAATGTATCAATCATTATAAAAAAATCATCCTTATTAATTTATTACACTCTTTACTGTAGGTGAAAGATCGCTGTCATACAGGGTGTCCACGCTAAAGTGTGACAGTCGCGATATTTCAATAACTATTGAGGATACGAAAAAATTGTTTATATGTAAATTGCAGGATAAAATGGGATCTCTATTTTGGCGTAAACGAAAATTTTGCTTATGTTATTAATTTATGAAATATGATGGTGAAGTTTCGTTTTTTAAATGAAAGTATATATTTTTTTTTGGATCATGCGATAGTGCTTTTCAAGCCGAATTCATTAAGCTGCAATTTATTCACCCGATTTTTATTAGTGTTTAGAAATTTATTGATTTTCAGCGGAGACGTCTCGGCTTGAGTGGTAAGTCATAAAAGCGGTTCTATTGTTGCGCTGTTTGACTCTACCTGTTGAAACCGATAGCAAGGATCTATGCTCGGAACGGTAGACCCGAAAAGTAAGAAACATGGAAAGTATTGTCCATTACGGTCCAAGTTTGCCGCATCGATGATGGCGTCGTTAATATTTTGGATGGTTAATACTTTCCATGTTTCTGTAGGTTCGGATCTCTCTTCTGGACTTAGTATTTTTTTTATTCATTATTTTTTGTTAACTATTTTTTTGTTAACTATATGTATAACAATGCTTTATATTTATTTATAAATGTTCTAAAAGCATTTTACAAATATTTTAACCTGAAATATGTAAAAATGTAATTTTTGAGCGTTTTTTGCGTCTTTATTTTTTTTGTCAACCACGATTATTGTTTACCATCTCTTATGCTGAAATTGATGTGAAATGTTAGTTTTCAAATGTCTTAACTTTAACTATTGTGAATGGATCGGAGCAGAAGATTGTATATTGATTTACTATTACTTCTACTCTCCCTTCGATCAAGCAGATTTTTCCTTTTCTTTTCTCTTACTTTGATAAATATGAACGTTTGCTACGGCTTCAGTATCTAACATAGACATGTAAGGGTCATTCCACGCCAAATCTATTAACCCATTCTCTGCCAATGATACTTTTTTCTAATAAACGCATTTTTAAGTACTACCAATTTGATCGTTTCAGGCTGTTTAAATATCGCATTAATTCGAAATATTTGAACATAGAATAAAATTCGTTAAATAGTGTTGTTTTCGAGGTACGTAACCGACCAGCGGATTTTCTGTCGCCCCGTCCGTTACGCGACACAATATAAACTAGAAAAACCACGATTCTTGGGTTTTTTCTGAAAGTCACGCGATCGACCAAGTAACGTTCGATTTCGAACAAAAGGTTCAACGCACGGGTATAGAGAAGGTACGATTATATGTCGGAACTTCCGTCTGAGCCTACATTTTAGACTGTCCGTGCTCGTCCGTCACTCTTAATCTGGATCCTGCCGTGAGCACATCGGTAATCGATCACGCTCCGCAGAATTTCCACTAATCTCCGAATAGTTCTGAGTTATTCGAACTTTCGTTGAGGTACCTTGTAAAATTATTGGCTGATTCTTGTCGCGAGCTAATTTACTGTCGGATCGGCTATCTTAATCTGTGGGTCGTGAGTACGACCTGATTAAAAAGAACGACTGCGGCAATTCTTTGGGATTGTTAAGAGTGAGTCTAGGGATATTCGTCGGAGGTATGAGGAATGGGATATAGGCGGAAGGGACATGGGAGCGAGCGGGAAGAGAGAGGGGAGAGTTGGGTTCGAGAAGAGAACGGTGAAGCACGTGTCCGAGGCAGCGAGGCTGCGTAGTTGGGATTTTGGACTGTGAACGTTGAATGGTAGATGTGAGAGACTGTGGTCATACTTGGTGAACAATAAATAGTTTATAACAAATTCAGAAGTGGGATATTTACACGTGCGAGAGAAAGAACGGAATCCGTGGTGTTCTACGTGTTGCTAACCTAGACATTGTATCGTGGTCTGAAAGTTCGGGGAATCACATTGGTGTAGTGGGCTGATTGTTAAATAGAAGGATAATAAAAAAAAAAAAAACAAAAAAAAAAAAAGAGGAAATAAAGACAACATTCGCGTTAGAGGCTGTGGCGACGCGGTGTGTTGGCGTTAGTTGGAAAGAGCGCGGAATTGCCCTCTGTTTTGTTTTATGACGTCGGGTGGCGACGATTTTGAGAAGTTCGTTGCTGGTAATAGGTTATACGGCGCATTAAGCGGCAAGATGAACGACAACGACGAAGTGAGGAGTGCGCTTGCGGAAATTGAGAGACAGAAGCGGTGTAGGCAGGAAGAGCGCGAGCGATATGAACAGAATATGCGTACGATGGAGGGAGAAATGCAAAGACAGCAAGAGGGTTTTCCACAGCCATCGCCGTCAGCTAATTCGACTGAAGCGCAAGCAGAGATGTTAGCGAATGCGATTCAAGCTCTCAGCACGATAATGGCAAGTCAGTCGCAAAGTTTGATGACATTGCAGGGAACGATGTATAATAACCGACAAGATCAGCACCAGTTAATCTCGATGGCCGGTGCCCAGGAAAGTATTCGCGAATTTTATGGCAACGAAGAACCTGAAAGTGCACGCGCGTGGATAAACGACCTTAGAAACACAAAGGCGATGCATCGCTGGAGTGACGAGGTAGCGCTAAGTGTGGCAAAAGCTCGTATGAGAAGTGGTGCGTGGAAGTGGCTGATGGACAAAGGTGAGGCGATACAGAGGTGGCAGGATTTGGAAGAAGCGTTTGTTTCAGCGTTTACTTACTCGCGCACTCGTAGTGAAAGCCTGAAAGCTATGTCCGCCCGAATACAAAAGCCGAATGAGATCCTTCAAGACTATATGTTGGATAAAATCTGGCTGTGTAAGGGGTTAGGTTTTAGTGTCGGTGAAATTCGCGATGAAGTAGCCGTTGGGTTATGGTCAAGGGAACTCTCGCATTATGTGCTTGGCCGTGAGTATGCGTCCACTGACGCTATGCTGCAGGATCTGGTCAGGGTCGAGAGGATCGGCAACGGACGACGAGAGAGATTGACGGAACGTCAGATGCGGTATGCTCCCATGAGGACGGAGATCCAGGCGGAGAAAACGTCGGCCAGCGCACCACGACGAGGGGAAAGGATGAGGACAGCAACGGGCCAACCAGGGAGCGCGTTAGGTCGAGATCAGGGAAGAGTTGCCGGCGGGGAAATGTGGCAGAATGGAGTGAAATGTTATAATTGAGGGTGTCTAGGACATATGTCGAGAGACTGTAAGCAGAGTAGGCGTGTGATTACGTGTTTTATATGTAAGCGACCGGGACATGTTGCATCCCGATGTGCAAATAATAATGTTATCGATCAAACTAAAGGTCGTACTGCGAACAGAAATAGCGGAGAGGTAAACCTGGTGAACGCGCAGGGTGTTATAAGTAGCGGAGATAAGTTTGTACGAGAGGTTCAAGTCGGGTTAAGTGCTGTGGCGGCACTAATTGATATGGGTGCGTCTGTTAGTACGGTTAAAGCGACGATTGTACTGCGGGAGGGGTTTAAAGTAAACCAGGGGCGGTCTGTGTTAGAGGGGTTCGGAGGTAGCAATGTTGAGTCTCCGGGTACCATTGATGAGGTGATTACGGTGGATAGTTTGAAGCCACGCAGGTTGACGATGCGAATCGTGCCGGACAGTGTGGCCAGATCGGGCATAATTGAGTGCATCGAAATCGACAACAGTGACGACGAACTTCCTTAGCGTCTAACGGAATGGTGGGGATAGCAGGCATACACTACCGCACGAGCCACGTGTACGTGAGCTCGACGCTTGCGCACAACTTCGGGAAATCGATAAAGAACGCTAGTGTGAGCCTTTCCTTCTTGCTCTTGTAAAAGACAAAACAACTGAAATACGACCTCACAATAAGTGGCATACGATTCCAAGCCTCGACTGCCCCAGCATTTTTACTTTCCGACCTATATGTAAGGTATAAGGAAATTTATAAAGTATCATAATGAAAAAAAATTTTGAAATTTTTTTTTAGCGGAAATACACGTTTTAGGACCCCCTGATCATATTGTGACTATTGAAAAAAAAGACATTTTTTTTGTTCCTCAACGACTAACAATAAGTGAATTGCAATAACGAAAAAAAAATTTCGAAATTTTTTTTTAGCGGAAATACACGTTTTGGGACCCCCTGATCATATTGTGACTATTGAAAAAAACGATATTTTTTTTTGTTCCTATGCTATTAACATGAATGCATTAAACGACTAAGTGAATTTCAATAACGAAAAAAATATTTCGAAATTTTTTTTAGCGGAAATACACGTTTTAGAACCCCCTCATCATATTGTGACTACTACAAAAAAACATATTTTTTTTTGTTCCTATGCTATTGACATGATTGCGTCTAAACGGCTGAATGAATTTCAATGAAACTTAACATTTAAGTTTTATGTTCTCGTTTTAAGGTCTCATTATATTTTAAGCGTGATCAGCTCCCATATAATGATGATTATACGTTTTTAGTTTTATAATTATTTCGATACATACACATCATTTGTAACAAATTTTTAAAGCCATTTATATAAATCTTAAGAAGGGTTAAGATCAAATATATTTTTCTCCTATCTTTCCTAGACAGGAAAAATTAAACGAAATCTTATGCCTTGCATACCTACCTAAACCACATAAAAAACGTATTCCACAAATATTTTAGAATAATGTTGTTCAAAGCAGTCTTACTCGTAAAGAGTTAATTAAGGGTTAATTAAAATGAAAAACCACTCTTAGCCAGTACCGTGCACGCTACAGAAATAGATTACTACTGACTTTTCCCACTATGTTTTTTAATAACCGTATCAAATTGTTACACACAATCAAATGTTATATATTTGACTTAACTTACATAACAAAATAATTGTAACGATAGGTAAAACAATAACGTGCACGCTACCGTTCAATGGAAACCACGGGAAGGTGGTGGTCACTTCCATCAGGAGGGAAATGTA